ATATATATATATATATATTTTCTTTCTCTCTTCATAATTACCTTATCTTTTTTTTTTAAAAAAAAAGAAGAAAACATAATGAAATTAAAATATGTCAAAAATAGGTAAAGTTTTGTTAAAGAACTCCCCACTTCTCACGTCCACAATCCCTAACCCCCAACTCCAAAACCCACGTTCCCCCACTCCAAAACCCACATTCCCCCACTCCAAATGAGGGGAACAACAAAACCCACTAAGATTGCTATATAAGAAAAAGGCCAATATTTTGAAGGGGGGACACTTTGAACAGAAAGAAGAGAAGTAACGAAGAAAAAGGAAAAGAAGGGAAAGATAACAACGAAAAAAAAAAGTACGGAAGGAAGGCAGAGAACGAAAAAGAAGTAGAAAAATTGTGCAAGTAAGAAAGAAAGAGAGTATAAAACCTAACCCCGTGTCTGGATAAACAGGTGCACTATGAGTGGGAAAAGAGGTAAGTCTGAAAAGAGGCCCGGGTCAGAAGGGATACCAGATTTTCTTATTATTGATCAGATACCACAATTGTTGTGGGATTGGCGGAAAGATTTTAAGGAATATGAGCGAAACCAGATAAAGAAGTACTTGGGACATTTGGTTCACATGATGACGATCAAGCCTAAGAGGGATGTGATTAAAGCTTTGATTCCGCACTGGGATCCTGAAAATAATGTGTTCCATTTTACCGACTGTGAAATGACTCCGACCTTGGAGGAAATCGCCCATTTCCAGGGGTGGGGCCGTAATCTTCGCCGCTAGAGGCCCATAGTACCAAAAAGTGTGAATGAGGGTAAGTTTCTGAAGCTCTTGAACATAAATTACGGACAGTATGAAGGTTTAGGAGGCAAGTGGGTTAAGTTGGGATTTCTGTTTCATTTGTACGGCCTAGAATGCAATTTCGAAAGGAATGTGGGAAAATTGAAATCAAAGGAAGACAAGGAAACATGGAAGATACACAGAAGGTTTGCTTTTATGGTTGCTTTCTTGGGGTGTGTAGTTTTTCCGGAAAGGGAAGGACGCATTGACATCCGGTTGGCAGGTGTAGTTGAGGCTCTAACCTCAAAAAGGGATGATTATACTTTGGTCCCTATGATTCTTTCTTCCAATTTTCATGCTTTAACTGGATGTAAATTGCGCGCACGAAACTTTGATGGCTGCAACATTTTGCTACAAATATGGTTGTTGGAGCATTTTTATCGTCATCCTACGATCTCTAATTTTAGTGAGCGCTGGCCCAATCACACTTTTGATCACCAGAAAAGAATTGACAAATGTGACTTACCTGAAGGGATTAACGCCTGGAAAGAACTACTTCTTACTTTGTCTGCCAAACAGATCACATGGAATTACGATTGGTTTTCCTCGAAAGAGGTCATTTGTGAATCTGCATACCATTCTTATTTGGTACTCATAGGATTGGATGGTGTTTAGCCCTATGCTCCACTTCGGGTAATGCGCCAGTTTGCACGACGACAGGAGGTGCCACCAACATGAGATATGAGCAAGTTCTGTTATGATTTTGGTAAAGATCAACCTCATGACGAAGAGGAAATTATGAAAATTTGGTATGCAAGTAAAGTTTCGGAGTTCAATAAGATGGTAGAGGACCGATATCGTGGAGCGGTGATCCCTGAATATATTACTTGGTTTCATGATCCTTCGTCGTTTAGAGATAAGCTTGAGGGGTCGAACAGGAGGAGAAATGATCAAAGAACTATAGAAAAGCTGAAAGAGGAATTGGAGCATGCTCAGATGATTATAGCCAAACAACAAGCCCAGCAGCAAGTCGGAGTCGCTCATATTCGTTTAAACATTGAGAAAGATTATCAATCTGCCTTGCGGGTCATGGATAAAGATCTAAAGCATGCTAAAAATGAGGCAGCCCATTTAGAAGAAGAACTGGCAAACACGATTGGTTTAGTCAGAAGAGTTGAGGCGAATAAAAATGCTGAAATACATAAGTTGCAAGAAGACTTGAGTATCATTGAAGAGGATGCGCACCAGCAACAACTGGAGTTTGATCAGCAGAAAGAGCAGTTTGAAACAGAAAGGGCCCATTGGATACGCTCAAAGAGTCAGCTTTATGCACAATTAGAAGAAATAAAAAGGCAGAAGAGGGGTCATCAACACACAGATTTTGAGGAAGAGCGGCGTCAGTGGATGATTGAGAGAGGTGTGTTAGACCGTCGCATTGAAGAATATGAGGGACGTGAGGCTCAGATAGGGCACGCCCTCAACACTACCCAGATGTGGTTGCAGAATTGTCACGTGAATATGGGGCAGAAGCCAGAGAGGGAGAAAAAGAAATTCTGTTCATTTTCAATTTCGGATTTTGGGTCTTAAAAATAGATTTCTCTTGAAGTGTTGGAACTGGCTTCGAATCCGATTGAGGTGTAGGCTCTTCGGAGTTGGCTCGTGGTTCCGTCCGAGTTTCTGTCAGATTTAAGTTCCGGCTGTAGCTTTTGATTCATTTGCTCGTGTAACTGCTGAAAATTTCATCAATTGAAAGTTTATAGAGGCAAACTTCCATTATACTACACTGTAAGTTATAATATGATCTTTCAATCTATGTGTTTCTTTGTTTAATTCAATTAATGATTATGCTACTTTAAATCCTATTTTTTTAGATTCTTTGTTATTATGATAATATTTGACAATCAGAAAAATGTAAAAGAAAAATATTAGTTCATTATCAGAAAATAAATCGTTGCATATCTTTTGCTAAATTTTTATTTAACGGTAACAACATATAATTATAGTTTTTTATTTATTATAATTCATCATGTATGTTGTTGAGTAATACAAAAATCAATTAAAAAAAAAAAAACTAAAAAGCACGACAATAAGTACTTCTATTGCATGATTAAATTTCTTACTTGTAATATTATGATTAATTCACGTTGTAACTTTTTCATCATCAAGTTATCCGAATTAACTAAAGTATCCCTACTTAGGAAATAACAAAGTTATTAACTTGAAAAAAAGAATTATTATTATTTTATGTAGTTAAATGGAGATAATGAATTAATACTTCTAACATTACAAGAAAAAAAAAACCATGTCAAAAAATAACGTCAAAATAAGAGTCCGTTTGGCTTAGCTGATTTAGAGTAGCTGATAAGCATTAGCTGCTGAAAAGCACTTTTAAGTGCTGAAGCTAATTTAAAAAACAAGCAGTTACGTGTTTGGATAAAATTGCTGAAATTAATAATAAGCAGCTAAAGAATTGGGTATACGAAGAGTTTTGTTTTAAAAAAAGTATTTTAGGGATAAAATAGTAAATATGTTGGTCAAACCTAAAGTGCTTATAAGATGAAATTTGATCAGTTGGGGGAGACCAACTTATGGCTTTTGGCTTATTTTTGGCTTATAAGCACTTAACTTATAAGCACTTTTAATTTTACCAAATGCGTAGATAAAGCCAAAAAGTGCTTATAAGCCAGTTTGACCAGCTTATAAGCTTAGCAAAACACCCTCTAAGATATCTTGAACTAATTACTAAATAAGGTATTTCAAATTTACTATTCTGTTGGTTAGCCTTAGAATTTCTTTTTTAATGTGAAATATTAAATTGCTAATCTAATCTGTTTTGTTCCATACATTCATTTTTATGAAGACATTAGGGGTGAGCTTATGTTTTGTCTTTTTAGACACTGCACCACATTCACATATTATGTTGTTTGTTTAAAGTGTATTATTATTTCATCTACAAAGTGATTTTCATAATGTATGCCCCCACAATAATCTCAAACTTAGGAAAGAAATAAATCATGAATACACTAGAAAAACTATAAATGTGCTTTCAATATTAGCCCATGTGTTCATACCCGAACCTTGGATTGATATGCTTAAATAATAAAAGGATCATGTGCGCATCCCCGCGTCTCGAATACCTTTAAATTTAAAATAATTATGTTTTGACCATATGTACATTTCGTACCTTGGTTTAACATTCAATTTCGAAGAATACCTTGTGTGCGTACCGCATCTTGGTGAACACAATTAATAAAATACAATAACCAATTAAGTGGTAATAGGCAAAAAAAAAAAAAAAGCAATAAAATACAAGAATAACCAAAAACTGATTTAAGCCTTACATTAGTCAATAAAAGCGACCGTGCTAGAACCACGGGACTCGAGGGGTGCCTTACACCTTCCCCTCGGTCAACAGTATTCCTTACTCGGTCTTCTGTTTCGTAGACCATAAATTAGGAGTCAAATCTTCCTTTTGATAAGGGATTCAATAAAAGGTGACTTGGAACACCAAAACTCAATTCCAAGTGGCGACTCTAAATAATAAATAATCCCCTTTCAAAACGTCACTTTAATTGAAAAAACTCTTCTAACTCAACCTCGTAATAGGGTTGTGTAGGAAAAAGAGGTGTGACACTCATCCTGTTGTGCTTAAAGAAATTGGGAGCGTTATGCTATTGTGTTATGTAGGTTGGAGTTTGGTTTAACCCAATTGTGGGGTTTGAATTATTAATGTATATGCATTAAAGTGCTCAGGGAGGTGTAGTCAATATATCCAAATGTATCATACCCGTCCCGCAACCTTCATTATAGCTAAATAAAGTCTTATCTTTGACTGAATGGGCTCAAATTAGTAGAGTATTACACTAAGGGCAAGCCTATGGTACATCTTCTGTGGCACGTGAATCTTATTTCTGGGAATGAGTAAATTTTTTCTATCTTGAGTTCCTATTTGTTCTTAAATTTTATTGTGGGTGGAACTGCTCTCTCATTTTTGTTGTGAGGGCACATGATTTGCAAAAGGAAAAGTAAAGTCTTTGGCCTCTGGTTAGAGTAAGTGAGCAGGAATTTTGAAAAAATACGTGATGCTTGGGAGTTGGGTCTTGAGGCTGAGTGGTCACAATATAGTGCTTAATCTGCTTTAATTATTTTTGGCATGATGAGTTAGGGAGGTTGTTTGATGAGAAGGTCGTCTCTATGTGAAGTGTAGATTGATTGCTCGAGGATGAGCAATGGTTTAAGTGTGGGGTGTTGATGGGAGGATAGAAACCCATATTTTAGCCGTATTTTGCACTCTAATTACTGCACTTTACTCGTGTTTGAGCTTATATGATGGTGATTTGCACTTATTACGTATTTTATGCCTTGCAGAAAATAATTCCGAGTTAAGAACATATTTTGGAGCTAAATCGAATAAATAAGAGCTTTGAAGTTTGAGTAAAAGCTCAAGGAATTAAACTGAGATCGCGTTCGGGGATTGATGACCAAGTCTAGATATTAAAAGGAGAGAAAAAAAGTGTCACGACCCAATTCCCAACCTGGTCGTGATGGCGCCTCTCGTGAAGACAAGGCCAGCCAACTAACCCAAATTCTCTCACTAACAATTATCAAACATAAATAGAAGATACAACTTAATGGCATTTAAAATTGTTAATTTCTACCCGACCGGGGTGTCACAAGTCACGAGCATCTAAAGAAAATCCTGAACACAACTACAGGGCCAATAATAATACATATGGAAAATTCTGGAAAATCAAAGACAACATCCGGTACCGCGAACGCTGGCGGTCACCTTACTCAGCTACAATAGTCATACCTTCAACCAGCTAAATACCCCGCTGCCGGGTGTACAATACCTGCAACTGCACGCGAGGTGCAGGGAGTAAAGTGAGTACTTCCAACTCAGTAGTAATAAGAGTAAATAATAACTGAGCGGTAAGAAATCACGTAAAAGCACTCCATCATGCTATATAAGACAGTGCAAATCTTTGAGAAAACAGTGAAATCGTGAAAATCCTTTAGAAAATATCTGACTCAGTTTAAAACCTCTTTTGAAAACATCTTTTTCTCAACAGTCAAGCAAATGAATGCATAATCAGATAGTGCAAGTCCGCACATAAGTCAGCCCCTCGGGCACAACACTCCACAAACAGTTAATACCAGGGCGTCTGGTAACAGTACAAGAAATAGCATGGATGCCAATGATATGAGAGTGCTAAATGTCATGACACGTAGTACAAACAGGAAACAATGCATGAATGCAATGCAATGCACATGACCGCTGCGGCGCGCAGCCCGATCCATTTGGGTACCCGCGCTCACTGTGGGGGTTCAGACTCCGGAGGGGCTCCTACAGCCCAAGCGCAATATCATCATAGTATCGCTGCGGCGTGCATCCCGATCCATCCTCAGTCCAGAACATGCAAATGAGCCACTCGGGAAATGTCAAGTAATAGCTTTTAACTCAAAACATCAGAAAATGCAATTTAAGTCTTTAAACTTTAGCGATATGACTACACTTTTCAAAACAGGGTTTAAATCAGGAACTGAAATCATTTAATATGCTAAGTGTCATGAAAACAGTGATAATAATCCCTAAAGGATTCAAATAATCGGCACGAAGCCCAAAACATGGAAATCAACCCAATTCACGATAGCATCAAGTAGGTTTCAGTCAATTATGCAGTAAAATCAACAACCGGGATGGACCAAGTCGCAAATCCCCAACGGTGCTCTACCCCACGCTCATACCTAGCGTGCAAGTCACCACAATACAGCACTATGATGTGCAAATCCGGGGTTTCAAACCCTCAGGATATCATTTACAAGTATTACTCACCTCGGGCCGGTGAAATCCCTAGCTCGCGACGCCTTTGCCCCTTAATCGGCCTCCACGCGCGTCGAATCTAACCAAAACCAGAGCGAATACATCACAATATCCTAAGGGAACAATACCCAATCGAAAACAATCAAAAATTAGCAAGAATCTCGAAACTAGCAAAACCCGAGCCCCGGGCCTGCTTCTCGAAAAATTACGAAATTCACGTCACCGGATTCCTCGTCTCGCCACGAGTCCATACATATAAAATTCATCAAAATCGGAGTCCATTTGACCCCTCAAATCATCAATTTAAGCTCTCTTAAGTTTCAAACCCTAACCTCCATTTTTGGCATTTAATCCCTTAAATTTCAGTGTTAAATCCATGATTTTTCACTATATAAACATAATCCGAGTCCAATAGTTCATACCTGATGAAGTCCCTTCGAATTCTCTTCAAAATCGCTCAAGAAACCGCCTAAGCCGAGGTCCAAAATATTTTTCCTTCTCTTTCAAATTCGTGAACACTGTTCACTTTAATTCCTGTGGTTAAATTACCGCACCTGCGGTCACCGCATCCGCGACCAAATGATCGCTTCTGCGATCTCACTTAAATCCCCAGGGACCGCTTCTGCGGTCTTAAACCGCACCTGCGGTTGCCGCTTGTGCGGACCCTTGTCCGCTTTTGCGGAAGAGTTCCAAGTCTCCCAGAACCGCTTTTGTGACCCCTTAGCATGCGGAAATGACAGAACCAATAACTTCAAACCTGCAA